GTTTACGCTGGAAGTACCAGCAGCAAGCTCGATACGACAGCCATCGCACTGGCTGTCAGTGTGAGTCTGATTTGCGCTACGACTATTGCATATAATCTTCTCTTTATCGTGGTGTTTATTCGGTATCCCGCTGTCCGAACACCCTTTACATATTATCTTCTCAATATTTCGTTATGTGATCTCGGGTTGGCTAGTTTCGGTATGTCAGGTTATATCTGGTTTACAGTGTTCCCTTTGTCGAGCGTTGCGTACTGTCCGTATTACATTTTCTTCAACGCGCACTTCCTAGTGGGCTCTGGTTATACTGTGACGCTGGTCAGCCTCGACCGACTCATATCGTTGTGTGCCCCGGTTTATCACAGGAACCACCGATCGGTGCGGTGGACAACAAGTTGCTGTGCTGCAACATGGTTGTTCATTATTGCTTTGGTCAGCCCTATGATGATTATGGACGCTTGTTGGTATAGGAGAGAAACTCTGCCCTGTTCTACTAATTTTGAAGCACAACCATACTACACGCTCGTGGAGGACTATCTCGGTTACGATTTTCCGGTGATTTTCGTGTTTTGCAGCTACATTTTCATCGCTAATAAAATTATGCGGCGACCGAAGCGAAATAGAATCGGTAAATTAATACTTACCTATGTAGTTGCGTCAAATCTGACACATTTTTCTAGATGGAGGCCGAAACGTCTACATTAACTTTAATTTAGATAGCGGAGCGCGACCGCGCAACGATGGGGTAGTCATGCCTCAAGATAATGTACCAAATGCCCGGCACAGCCTACGAACTCCCGAAGAGGCCAAAGTCTTCAAGCTCTTCTCATTACTGACACTTTGTGACGTGGTATGCTTTCTACCACCCATGATCTACTACCTCCTGGGTGAATACGCAAATTATTGGGATGACAACATCCATTCGGTCATGACCCTACTGCAGTATATGAGCTGCGTATTCAATCCGCTCATATATCACTCCAGTTTGCCTAGTGTGCAGAATGCGATAAATAGGATGTTGAGATGTATGTAACTGAACCATTTTTTAATTTAGGCAGATTGTTGAAACTATTCGCGAATGTTGATCACTCTTTCCTTTCTTACTTCGTTCTGTCTTCTTCATCGGAATAGCCTAATAAGTGGCTCTGTTTAGCGTGTGCGGAATTGTTATCATGAGTATTGGTGCGGTAGCCGGGTCCCATCGTTATCCCCGCTAGCCTTCCCGCCAACGGCACTGTTTATGTCAAACATCTTTTTTACCCCAAAAACACATAAACCGTCCCAAACCGGGATAAGACTGCGGCAGAGAGTAGCCGCTGGAGTAAGGTAATACTAGAATGGTCAATGCAATTTGCTATCTATCAGCATTCAGCGAATTCGTGTGTCGCGCTGCGTATATACCATACATTTTCATTTTTGATACTATGGGCTTTTTTTCGAGCTTCGTGACGCTCTTTAGGTTAACGACAATAGCGACCTGTCGGCGAGTTGTAACTGTAAGGGCGCTCTGGGGACAATAGTGAAACATTCCTGAAATTGGCTTGGAAGACTGCCACCGGCACAGCTCTCAATGTTTCCACAAAATCTCTGATAGTTGCATCGTAGCGTCAGCATTGTCGTGAGCGTTGGAACTAAGCTGCTGAGGCCGCAATGCAAAAGCTGCGCAATCAAGTCACCAGTTTGCTACTGTATCATGTTATTTGCTAGACGACGCAGTCTTACTACTACTGCAATCGGATGTAGGCCTCCGTTTCTCTTCTTGGGCGACAAGTTTGCCAACGAAAAATAACCGGAGCATCTCAGCAGGCATGTTACGCGATAAGCGGCTCCGCCACAGCAGGCGCTCAGCACCACAATACACCTGTACTATCGTGCTTAACGACTTCTTTGGCGTAATACGCTGCTCTGACCAAATTCATGATATCCACAACTCCTGGGAGGTGATCGGATGCTGCTAAAAACCTGCTAAAAATCCTCTCAACAAACTAGGAAACATGCCAGCTTTTTGAAGGTCTGTTTCGCGCGAAAGCTGTCATGTTTCCCAGTTTGTCGATGCTGTTAATCAACTTCGTGTAAATATTATTCCAGCCATTTTCAATAAATTTATTGCACATACAATTCCATAGTCTCTTGTCGTAGGAACATAAGTTTCTAACAATCATTAGAACAAGCTCAGATGCAAAAAGTTCCATTGTTGAAGAAATGTACCTGGGTGGCTAGAAGGTTGAGTTCGTGGTATGGACCGCACAAATGACGCATTATACTGCAGTAAGGACAAACACCTAAAAAGGATATTGTCGCTTCTCACGTCATGTAAAGGCCCGCGAAGTAATTAACGTTGTTACCTTTTACTTCTTTTGTTTGTTATTTACTTTTCTAAAGTTTTAATATTTTGACTTTGCGCTAAAGTCAAAAGAGTTGCAAACAAAATGAGACCCGCTTTCTTAAGGGAAATCCATCGTGTACATACATGCACCGAATGATGAGAGCTACTCAAATTCCTTCAAGCAGTAAAGATAATTTCTGAACTTTGAAAAGCGGACAACGCTGGGTAAAATAAAACTAGTCGTAAAAAAGTACTAGACTCTGAATTCCAAGAAAAGCGAACAAATGCGTTAATCAACGAAAACAAACGAAATTCCAACCAAATTTTACCCGCTTTGCGCTGAAGGCTGCAGCGTAAATGGCGCGGGCTTCCTACCGGCTACCGCTATGGCATTCAATGTGAAGCAGGCAGAATTTAGTCATCCTATGAGCTATGCACCGGTTCGCGCCTCCAGCGGACAGGAAATTAATCGACGGGCTTTAAGGAGATTTTAGTAAATTTAAAGAAATCTAACTAATATTGGCAATCGTAGGAGTTATTGTCATCAGAACAGTACATGTTTATATAACTTTGTATAACTCATAAAACACCACCACGATGATAGGAAACCTTTACCTGCGAATAGGATTCATTCCGGCATTTGGCACTTACACGCTGGAACGAATTCCTTGCGCGAACGTACCGTAGGATTCTGCTTAGGTACATCGTCGGCAACAGTTGGTCGCCGGTAATATACAAAAATTGAATACTTGAAAAAAAATATACAAAAATTGAATTAAAACTTTAAGAAAATCGCGGACTATATGACCGGTAAACCCGAAGGCGTTTCCAGGTGGGTCCTTCATCAGGCTGATTCAGGCCTAAAACTGCAGCGGCAAATGTCCCGCAGAGATAAGGTACGGTAGCCAACTGGCACAAGCTCTACCCCATAGTCCGTGTCCGGGGAAAAATCCCGCGTGCATTAACTGTCGTGCAAACCGCTTATTAAATACGCATACCTTTGCGCTTCATTCGCGTCCGTAAATTCTGTAGTGAAACTTGTGCGAGCGGCTGCGGTAACAATGATGAAATTGTGATTTTGTAACATTGCTGGAACTTTAAAAGTTAGAAGTGTTGCAAACCAAATCAAGCCCTCTATTTGCAATTAAAATCGATCATGTTATTCATGTATGATGTGAGCACTAAGAGATGTGAGCTGCTTGAATCCCTTCAGACAAGAACTGTGTAACTGCTTTGCGATTGCAAGGCAAGAAGGATTTGGAGGCGTTCGGCACAGATAATGAATAACACATTTGTACGTTATTTGGCTTAATTTTAGTGCTCCTTTATCTACATTTAAGCGTTGCGATTTATTTTGCGCACAACGCACATTGTACGAGGGTATAACATGGTTGCGGAATGGTAAACGAAATCGGCGATCCAAAATCCAGCACTTGCTTTCACTTTTGCTGACGTTCGTCATCTTCTGAATTCTGTCAGATTTTTGGTAAAGTCATTTACTGCAGTTCTCAAAGGGCCCTCCATATGGAGCGCTCTTTCCAGGGATCTATTTTGTTTCTCTGATACACAAAAGATTCTGACCTTGTCGTTCTCTGTTTGCGAATACACTAGGGACGCGCATGACGCGACGGCTTTTGGATTAACGCTGATTGTGAACAACGTGACCGAAGCGCATTTGCGGTTGCCAGCTAACTGTAAGTACAGTATAACGATTACCGTACTCGTACAAACATACGCTAAGAGAAATTAACATACTTTAATAATAATACAGCGATGAAGCATTTAATTTTAAATTTCTGCATCCGCTCCGATAAAATAATAAATTACCTTAATTTGAATAACAGTACCGTCCAGACTTTGCCCATCTTTTAGGTTAGGTGAAAATTCTTCCCATTTTTCCCAGCCCATCTCACCTTTTAGGTGAAAATGAGAGATGGGAAAGAGCCGCAGATGAGGTGAGATGGGCGGGTATCGTTGAAGAAGGGAAGGGACCAAGAAAACAAATAAAAATAAAAAAGTTTTGACATTTTCGTCTGTTTTCTACCCTAAGAGCATGTAAAAATGCACCATTCGAGCCCCAAAAACAAGAAATTTCCCTGATTTCATTATCATTCTATCTACCGTTTTCCAGCAAAAAGGGGTCGATGGCTATTTTCACTGCGATGCAGTATTGCCAGATGGTGTACACGTTGCAGTTGCTCTTCGATCCTCTCATGTGGATAATAAGCCTGAAAAAAGCCCAGTACAATGGCCGAGAAAAATAATTTAATGCAGGACCGCAGGAACTTACAATGAATTTCTGAATGTCTGAACGTTCTTACGGTCATGTTGGAACTCTATTCTCAGGTTTACCTATGCAACCGTGACACCGCCAACCGGCTGTTTCCGCCAAAGCCAGTTCAAGTCCACGCTTATTTTGATATCACTTTGTAGAGTGTTGACCGTTACTTTGATGTTCTTCTTATCAAAATTTACTTTGATGTTCTTCTAATCAAAAATACATTGGCTATGCGACTGTACATATGCATATGCTGTATGAACATAGAAGGTTATCTTAATCACTTTCCGTTGGGTCTCGTGAATTTTGCAAAAGCTATATTTTTGACCAGTTCTTCGTCAGCAGCACGGGATGACTGTAATGGTGCATCAAGATTGCAAACTACAGAGTACAAATAATTCAAGTCGTGTTCACATGCAGATATGCAGCTTGTACAAACCACTCGTCAAACACATCATCTGTTTTAAAAAAGCATTGATACTGTCCAGCGTCATCTAGTTGCACTTCATCGAATATCAAGGAGGTGTAGCAACCGTCATCAAACCCAGTTTTGACAAGGGCTCTCCTGTTCACGGCCTTCCGAAAGGACGGTATGCCGAGAGCAAATATTAGATAATGCTCCTTCCTCCAAATGATCCGCCCGTCAAAATCGTCTAGTGTTCCAGGCATCGCATCAAAAGCCACGGTGCAGCGAAGTTCCGCCTGCCCACCCACAACTGCCGTGACGTTGCCCATTGGCGGATAAAACACTCTGTTATGAAACAGTTGTGGGCTGAGCACAAACCGTTTAAATGCAACGAACTCGCTGCCATTCTCGTGAAGGCATTCATAAACACCCGCGTGAGCATGCGTGAAATTCGTCATTTTTATCTGGAAGGAACCAGTTTCACTACGACCATCGGTTTTAACGATCTGGATGCTTTCAGTTTCCGTTTTTCGGTCAAACGACGAGGACCTGCAGCTGTAGTAACTTTTCTCTCGCCAGTTTAACAGTCCATTAGCTATAAATTTCAGGAGCTTTCCGTTAAACCTGATGACTGGATCGGATAAAACAAGCCCATTTTCTCTAGTGCACTGGAGGATCACGCACTCTCCTTCGGACGCTCTGATCACCACGTCCGCTTGCCCAATGTCAAGAGGAAGAAAAGGTGACGGCAAGGAGATGCCTTTTAGCACCAGTGCTCTGTTTCTTCCCCCAGCCAATGTCATGGCTTTATCCAACTGGCGAAGAGCTACAATCAGACGGGAAAATTTTGAACTAAGTAGTCATTGCTCTATTCGTACGCTCGGTTGGGCATTGTAGTAAGTGAATGGGCACTCCTATGGTCGTTCAGCTGGTCACTTGGGAATATTAATTCCCAAATTCCCACAAAACGGTTTCCGTTCGGCCTTCTTTATCAGATTAGGTAGATCGCAACATTTACAGAGTATTGAAATGTTACACAGTTTTTCAGGTTTTCTCAGTTTTATTGGCCTTCTTTGGTTTCCAGACGTAAAAACAAATTATGCATTTTTGGTTTTAGATGATGTCTATGTTGTCGTCGTCATTTGCGTAGGACTGGAGTCACTGGACTCTATAGTCTGTAGTACTCAGTAGTAACTAGTAATATATACGTATTCCTATTGAGCAGAACAGTCGTAGCAGAATTTTTCTGTTACCTTCTTCTGTGGGATTAGTAGTCTGAACTGCAGTAAATGCAGTAGCAGTTGTACTTGTCCCGAGATGACTTTCATACTTGACAGAACAGGCGGCGGAGAATACAAAGCACAGAATGAGCTCTCTTACAATAAAGCCAAATAATTGTGGATGAGCCTCTGCGGCTCGTAAAACGAAGATTACGGACCCGCTCCACATTTTGTAATCTACGGTCATTTAATTTCTGAGGATGCAAAGCGTGAAACTCGTAATAAGGGTACAGATCCTGTACTAAATGCTGATATAAAACCTAAAATAATATCGTAAACTGGTGTGTAACTCTGCTATATTCACACAATTTCTGACATACCAAACGCTGCAAATCCTATACCAAGCATAATTATTATGGCAATCAGTTATCAGCTTATCAAGGTGCTGTATTCTGTTATTTTGGTTGGTTATAGCTACTCCACTACTACTGTAGCAATAATACTGACGTACCGTTAGTGAGGGTATACAACAATAGGAACTTGCATTAGTGATAACGCACCATAATACCTTACTGGACCAAGTAAATGGGTTGCTTGGTAATAACGCCTATAAACAGATTTTGCCTGATGTAGCTATTAATGCAATGCATGGAATCACAAAATAAAAAAACAACCGATTTTCGAAACACACAAACAAATAAAATTCGAAAAAAAACCCAAAAAAACTGCGAGGAAGTCTTGTTACGATCAAACAATTATGCAGAAACTGACAAGACTGAAGAGAAGCAAAACAGACACAAATACGGTGCAACCAAATTGTCAGCTGTAGTTTTGTGCGAAATTTAGCAATCACGGGCAATAAAGGTTGCCTACTTGGTGTTTGGCCACTGCAAGATTCACTCACTTTCATCCAAGGCTAAAGAAACACACTTCGTCTAGTAAACCAAAACGAAGATTTAATCACAGAAGCCTACAACAAAGGAATTCTTGGTAATGTAAAAGCCTACGTATTTCACACACTGACGGAAAACACAACACATAATGTCATAATCGTCGGTAGTCAGTATGTACGTAGAGTACCGTAGTATTTATTAATAGTACTATGAACACAGTGTCCTTAATTTTTTACGTTAAAGATACTGTTATTACCATTAAAATTTAATGGTTACAAATAGTGACACCATTATTCAAATCGTGAAACACAATGTTAGCACAACGTGTTCATGACTGTAGCTGCACCGCAAACAAAAGAAGTACGTCAACACGATGAAAATCGCGACAATAAGAAATCTATAATCGCTTACGTGAATATTTCTATAGGAGGAAAAACCAGGCATCTTCCACCGTTCCCCTGTACTGCTGCCGTCACCCGACTGGGGTTTGACGTGGTGGCTGAACATGGCGCTTATTTACCGCGCCAGATTTAACCATATGTACTGTCGTAACGACGGTAACGTCATACTCCTGGCGGGTGACGGCAGCAGTACAGGGGAACGGTGGAAGCCGCCTAGTTTTTCCCCTTATATAACACAATATTACAACAGCACCCAAGTTTTGAACACCAAGCACTCCGAATAAAAAAAAATTGGTTTCTTTTCTGGCTGTACGGAATAATAAGCTCAAGGAAAGGTAGCTACTAGTTCTTCCTTACAGTTTTCAAAAAAGTTTACAGACAGCAAACTTTATGATCAAATATGTACTTTCCAAAATGACAGCGATAATTAATGTGACCCAGAACTGTTCTTTCAATTTAAGTCAGACGGCACTCCATAGCCAGCTTTACTACGATTCTAAGTATCCGCCTGGTGATTGCTCTTGTCTCTGTGTTGCTCAACGCCGCCTTGCTTATACTCCTAGCATTGAAACCATCTTACAATAACCGTTTCACCATCTCTCTCTTGTTTTTATATATCGCCAACACCATCTTCCTTGTTGGAACGTCGTATTTTATTTTCTACAGCGAAATCTACGGCATGGAAATAGTGACCTTTGGTGAATCCCTATGCTTGTTTATTAATTACATTCACTCGACCATCGGCCTCATTCCCGTGTTCTGCCACATGTTGATTGCGTTGAATCGTTTGTGGGCGTTTCGGTTTCCCCACAATTATCGTCTCATCACACAACAAAGGTCGCCGTATGTATTTGTTTAGTGCCGGTTATTTACGTGCACATGTTGAAAGTGCCGCTTGTGTTAGTTTTTAAATTTATGGCATATCAACCACAAATTAAGGGTCTATGTACTGCGCTAAACCACTCAGCGATGGCGTTTTCATCGCGTCCAAGATCGATATTTGCATCAACCGGTTTGTCCCACTTGTAATCATAATCGGCGTCTATTTCCATCTTGTTATCCGGCGCTTCCGGAGAAACAGAAAGACCTACACTGGTTTAATAAGTGACTCCTTAGTGGTCAAAGCTCAGCCGATGGATGTAGATGCTATGACTTCTATAGCGATGGTGGTACCCCAGAAATCACAGAAAACGATTGTACGCCCGTTTTGGATTTCGACGCTTTCCACAGCTAGCGTCGTTGTTTGCTGGTAGCCAATGCCAATGGTTTCCGTATCGTTCCTTCAATGGTTTTGGAACTAGAAGACGTCGATGGCTATTTTTACAGCGATGCAAAATTGTCAAAAGCTGTACACTTTACAGCTACTCTTCGATTCTTTTATGTGGATAATAAGTTTGAAAAAACAACGTACAGTTGCGGTAAAATGTTAAAACGGAGAAAGATTATCCTTTTGCCTATCTCGGATTGCTATACAATTTAGTTCTGTAGAATTTCACACTGATGCCTAACAGTTGTGTACATATCAACAGCAGATGAACGGTAATAAACAAATAAACCGATGCACATAGTACGCTGACTTTAATGTTCCATGTCGCACATTATGCAGTTTTCCGACGGCACCGTATTCATTTGCGACACCAACTTTTTGACAATTTGCCCACTTTATTAATAAATGAAAAATACTGCATTACCGAATCACTAAAATTATCCGTAAGCGTAGGCGCTTTCAGGCGAATGGTTGTAAACTTCCTGATGAGGATGAAGCCGCCGTTCAGCAGCATCTACGCGTGTTACAAAAGCCGTTGGATAATCAAATTTCTGGGCCTGCTGGCAATCCATAGCAGAGTGAAGAAAATTGACGGGTAACGAGAAAACATAGACAGAACTCCAATGCAATGGGCCCATGCGGCGTAAAATCCTACCGACGAAATGTTCTGCGACAAAACGTCGAGCGACGAGATGGCCTTGCGGTGAAATGCCTGCGACCAATAGTCCTGCGACTGGTTGTCCGCGGCGAAATGTCTTATGTAGCGGTGCCAGAAGTATGCTTTGAACCTGAGTTACCAGACGAAGAACTTAGTCGCATTTCTTGTTCAGATTAGCCAGATAATTTATTTTTCTGCATCACTTCCATGGTGTACTGTATGATTATCTGTTTCTATTTTCCTTCGTTTTTCTCTTCTATTACCCTGAAGCATCTATCAGGACTCTATTTATTAATTTATAAAGTACGTTTTGCTGGAGTTGTGAATTTACGTCAAATAATATTATGGACAACAGTCAACTACAACTGGTTTTTGATAAGAACGCACTGATTCGATTCATCCTGTTGGATTAAAAGTGTTTCAGGACTTTCTGGAAAACGCAAAAACGTCACTAGCACAGGATGTTAAGCTGGGTATTCCCCAAGTGGTTTATCGGGAATTATGCAAGAAAGCCGAGGAATCTCATGGTACCAAAAAAACTAAACGGGAGTTGAGAGATGCAGAGAGAATTGCAAAATCCTCAAACTATATAACTAGTATTAGAGATTCTTCTAATCAACATTCCCGCCAGCATTTTCAGACCAAATATCTCTCCGATAATTTGCAAACGGTTTTCTATCCTGCGGATAGCAAATATCGTTCGGCTAGCGATAGCGAAATACTAATTTACGCCTTATTTTTGCGTCACTGTGAATGGCGGACATATGGCTAATAACCGCGGAGAGAGAACTGCAAGCGCGAGCGGATCGTAGTGGGCTAGTGTTTAAGGACGCGGTTACGTTGCGGAAGTCATTGAAACTGCGCTCATACGACAGACTGGATCCCGGGGGCGGGGATTATCATACATGGACCTCATGTTAAAATGCCATTTCGCTGTGGCGATGGTATTAGTTTCACGGCTTCGTCTTACCGGGACCGTGTAGGCGTGTACAGGTCTTCGACCATGTGAAACCCGCGGCCGCGTTGCGTACGAGAATATAGCACAGCACGTCATATCAGAGCGCTGTTGCTGTGAAAACACCTTGTCGTTTGCAAAATGAGCAAGTGGCACCGAATGTATCTAGAGCCGCAATTGTGCCGGTAAAGCCAAATCAAGTTGATGCAAATAAAGTCGAACGGTGGTTAGACAATGTATTCACAAGCGAGATGGACGCTGTTCCAGGAAAGCTTATCGTTACTATAAAGGCAAAAAGGAGCTGTACGACACTTCCTATGCGCCAAATGTTCAGTTTTCAACAAATTCGATTTGCTGTAATAATGCGACCATCGTAAACAAGTCAAGAGGCAAGTAGTGCGATCAGTAGTTATTCATATAGCAAGCCGCATGGGCAGTGATGCTGGTGACCGGTGCCTAAAGGATTCCTTAATAATATTGTTGAGCACGTCTTCCAAAGATTCCTTAATATGGACATGAACGATCACGTTGTTGCCGGATTTTTAATGCTGATAAAATCGGCCCTGAGGATTACGGCCCTGCGATCTGGGAGGAGGCCCAAATGCGCGCCAGTTTCAGATAGTCCATTTTCATTAGCTATCGCGCCGTTTTCGTCTACTGCGCGCCCGTGTCAGCGGTTATATACAATGCGAGCAAGAAAGGAAGCTACGGGTTTAGGGTATGCGTTTGGCGAAGACAGCGAAAACCGGTTTGTAGAGCTAGTACGCGCATAGACAGCCACACTCATACGCGTGTAAGTGGATGCGAGCGGATTAACCCACTCACACACACATGCGCCGATCGATCGATACAGCAAGCCAGCACTCCGCTTGCGCTTTTTAGCAGCACTGGAATGCGCTGTCTTTGGTCTATTTATAGTCACAGCAGAGAGCTGCACTGATCAACCCGGCTCAGCGGGCAAAAAAGGCTGTTCGCGGGCTTATTAACATAGACCGTAGCCTCCTCATTTAGTCAGATTGTATACACTGCTATGCACTGCTATACACATCGTACAGTTTATACATCATTGATGGCATTTGATGCTGCTATACATCGGTGCTGATGCCGCAACAGAGAGAAAAATAAATGTACCGCTCTCGCAGTAGATACAGTATAATATGTGTTCTGCCTGTAATGTGAAACACCGATAATAATCAATATTCACGAAGTAAATGCAGTACTAGTTATATACCGCAAATTGCGGTCCGCAAGTATCTTAGTGATCTGTTTGGAGTTTGCTCTGTTCGTAGTCCGTACCTTATGATCCAAGTGCACAGAATCAACTGGTTTCACAAGACTCGTACAACAAGAATTTAGTATGTACGAGCCCATGGTACACGCAGTTTGTACTAGTGACTCTTCAACTTTCCTGCATTTTATACTGTATAGTGTATACGGTATATACTGTACAAATACCGTAGTCTGTTTGCCCTGTCTATTGTCAGATATAGGACGGCTCAAGAACAACTGCACGTTGTGACTTTGTTTACTGCGGCATGGCAGTGTATGCAAGCCGTAAGGCTAGCGCACAAGTGCCAAATGTGCGTCTGATAAAGCAGCAAAAGCACTCAGCCGTCCTTATTCGACCGTCCAGATTAAATCTGAATAGTCGTATACTGAAGTATACTGAAGTTCGTATAAAATCGTATACTGAATCGTATACTGAAGTTCCATGGTATTTTGTCTTTCTATAATATTCTTTCCTGCGGTTCGGTGGGAAGCCGTCTATAAAAACACCGGACGTCTATAAAAAGAAATCACGTCTATAAAAACACCGGACGTATTTGTTGGAGTTGTACATAATAATTAGTATCAATTAATATGGACAGCTGTAAACTGCTGCTGGTTTTCGATACGAATGCATTGATTAATCCGGTTGGATTCAAAATGTTACAGAAAATTATGGAAAATGCAGAGAGCACTCTGCCAGCCAGTGTGACGCTTGTTATCCCTCGAGTGGCTTGTCTGGAACTGCATTCCTTAATGCGGGATAGTCACAGTTTTCCTGACACCAAAAAGAAGCGAGAATTGAAAGACAGAATTATGAAAGCCTTCTTCTACTTGATCTACAATATTTTAAAACTCTTCAACGATTTGCTCACCAATATTAAAGGATCCTGGAATGGCTTGAACATTGATGCCAGTTTTATTCAATCGTTGAACGACGTAATGAACGATATTACAGCATCTTTAAGCAAGATGATCCCTGATTACGATATTATGGAATCCATCAACGATGGGATTAATAGTGTTATTGATTTTTTCAACGGCGTGATCACCGATAACAGTCTTAAAGAAATTCTTAAACAGCGTTCCCGTTTGCATTTCCAAACGAAATTTTTTGCAGAATATTTGCAAACCATTTTCTATCCCGCGGATGGCAAATACCGTTCGGCTTACGATAGCGAAATACTGATTTACGTCTTATTTTTACGCCACACCAAATGCAGCGACATTTGGCTAATAACCGGAGACAGAGAACTGCAAGCGCGAGCGGCTCGCAGTGGGCTAATAGCAATGGAGGCTAAAACGTTACAGAAAGCCCTGAAACTACGACCTTACGACAGACTGGATCCGAAAGGTGCCGATTACCATATGTGGAGATCGCCGCGTGCACCTTTTGTTAAGATGACTTTTCCTTGCGGCGATCCTATTAGTTTTATGACTTCCTCTACTTTAGACCGTATACAGGCTTTTGCACATCTGGAACAGGAACGAACAGACGCGCTTCGTACGGGAATTATGCACGGCACGTCGTACCCCACCTCTGTTGCTGCGGAAAAACCTGACTATATAAAAAACGAACAACGTGCGCCGAGTGTGGTATACAAAGCTGTTGCAGTCCCGGAAAAGCGTCATATTTATGAAACACAACCAGTGCAATTTGCACGGCGTCAGCTGAATGTGAACGAAACGAAAAGCCTTGTTGTTCCAGAAAAGCCTTGTTGTTCCAGAAAAGCCTGATCTTACGTTTATTAGGAAAGAGGGACTTACTAGGAGTGAAAACATCATTACACCCGCGTGTAATCCCGCTGCGGATTGGAAGAAGGCTGACTTCTATAATAAATGCAAAGAACAGCCAGTCCGGTGGGCAGTTTACGGTGTTTCTGCGTGCATGACTGATGGTAATCCCGAAAATTTTGTCGTTTCCAATGAAATCTATCTGAAAGAGAAATATATCCAGCGTGTACACGACAGCGCATCAACATATACGGGCATTGCTTCTCTGGAGAACACTGACTTTTACGGCAGACAGAAAGTTTACCGGTCTGTTTCTTCCGACTTATCATCACGCGATGCACCGATCGTTTCAATGAAGCAAGGGCATTCTCAACGGAGTGCAAAATATGTTGACCGAGGGCCGTATGGTTATGTTGATGAACCTGTAGAAGATGCTGGTCATATCTCGGCCGAAGCCACCCATTCTGAGCAACAGAACCCACCGACAAATTCCATAGCGAGAGCTGTTTTCTCTCTATTTTTGAAATATGTTTTCTTGTTGCTGGAATTTATTTTCCATCAAGTCTTGGGATTCATCTTCTTGCTACCGCAAATTGCAATCGCTGTTTTCCGGGTTTTTTCTGCGCTTGTATTAACTGGAATGACTGTGTTAGTATTACTTCCTAAAGAAAAAGGTATCAGGTTAGATTTTTCCAGTTTCAACAAAACAGTAATTGCCCCGCTTCATCACTGGTGGGATTTATTTGTACAAGCCGACAAGCCTAACTAATTGTAAGCGACAATCGCTTAAATTTGAATGATTTCACTTAGGGTCTTGTTCATTGTTGCTTGCATGGGTATTATCGAATAAAAGTCGTTTAGCGGCGATGTTGTAGCAAGCGCTAGCAGAAGTTTCTGCAAACGAGCAAGTATCGACAATCTATCTTTTTGTCTGTTGTCTGATAGCAGTCTTGGTGTTTTACAGAAAAAGAACAAACTGTACTCGATCGGAAACCAATTCCGTGTCCTGAACCAATCTTTTTCGCAGCCTAAATCAACGACAATGATTCTCGCCAATAAAAATTCAAAAAACTGCACACTGTGATAGCGCAAAATCAGTTGTATTACTACAACGTTGAAGTGTTACACTAAAGGCATAACTACAAAAGTACGAGTACAGTAGAAATGTGTTGCTGTAAAATTTGGATGGGTTTTCGATATGGCCACGGCTTGACCCATGCGTGAAGCGTTAATACATTCTTTAACATTACAGAGCAGATCCTTTAGCATTAACAATCCGGGTACCTTACAGAGCCGGTATTGTCTAAGATTTCGAAGCATTGTTGATGGAAATCCATCAGGAAATTTACTGCCAGATTCCGACCATGCCATTCTCTCGACACCTTGACTTACTGTTTCCGGCGAAAGGAAAACGTGCCTTGGTCGCCGGCATAATGCATGGCTCTTCTACAACTTTACAACGAATCAAATTATAGCATACAGAGTCTCAAGAGGTTCAGGTATACCCCACAGCCAGGGGATAACGTACATCGCAACTGGAAAGGTTACCAGAAGTATGGCATGGCACAAACAGAAATTCGGCTGCGAGGTGGGTAACACGGTTTCTGGCACCCAAACAAATAATGTGTTTTTAGTACTATTACAAAATTAGTTCTGTATTTGGTACATTGTTTGTACTCGGTAGACTTGTATTAATTTTTAACCCCGGTAATGTTGCGGTTTAAAGTAATCGAGGCGAACTGCAAACTGGTTGATGTATCACGGGTGCAGTGCGATTAATACCAACATGCCGACATTGAGGAGGACTCAGGATTGACGAGAAAGCGATTGCTAAAGGGATGCTGAGGTACGCAGTAGAAAGAAAGACTGTTGCGAGAGCGGGCGGTGTGGTGAACCTGTTAGCATTGTGAGTCGGGAAAAAGCACAAGAATTTTTGAAACAGTAAAAATACTAATGTATCGTTACAGTAAAAGTACTAATGTATCGTTATTTATCGTTAGCTGGACTCGTTAATTTCTGATGTTCAAACATACATACCAAGTACATGATATACAGCTTAGGACAAAATGGTCGCATACCCAACATCTCCACATTCAGTACGAATGCAGCGCAGTGCACTGTACGACTGAGTTCAAAATATCCGTTTCGTACAAGTGCACTGCCCCGCTTGCGTACAGAATGCTGGGTATGGGGCTATGCGACAATTTAGTCCTACATTGTAGTTTACAGTAAACTATATTATGATTAAATGGTGATTATACTGGTGATTTCAACTTTATTATCTAGAATAGGTATATATAGAATAGCAGCATAGCGAAACTTTGTGCATTAATTACTGTACAAACAAGCATATGCCATATTGTGAATCTTTCTTTAAAATCAACTTATCATTTTAAAGAGTGTTGTTCAGCTTTAGTGGCATTCACAGAGAAGAACACTTTTACACTGCCGCAATTTGAAAGTGGTGTGACGGAAGACGAACGCAATGAGTTCTTTCCGGCAACATTTCGGTATACAGTATGCCGTCAAGATTACATCAGCGTCGGCGAAGATAAAACAGCCTGTCTGCAATACGGCTTATTGTCGCGTTGATAAGGGAACAATATGACCAGTTTATAACTTTGCGGCATTCGACATATCGTTATCGGTTTCAAGTGGTAATAAAGATGCGCAATTTTAACCGCTTCCGGTTGGGTACTCACAAGTCACAACTACTAGAAAACTGAGGAAAAATCCTGATCACAAACACCGCAATAAATTATCCTGAAAAGTGCCAGTAAACAATTTCATATAAATATGGCCAGATATGAGCCTATTACGACACTTTCCAAAACACTTTATGATTTAACCTAGCAAAAGGCTCTCGCTCAACAGTCAACATTGCTTAACAGCTACTCAGCGTAAATTTAATTACATCTGCTTTATTCGTGAGCAGCCCAATGGCGACAGAAAAGTTTGTATTCTTAACGGTCTGCATTGTTTTTTGTCGGTTTCGTCGCTTCCTACCCAGCTATTAGTAAGAACTTCTGTTCCCATTGATTTCACCCTAGAGTCCATATTAACCGTACTCCCGCAGTAGCAATATTATAATATTTCGAAGTGTAATTTTCCAGAAAGTGATGGTGGAGAGGAGGACATTGACCGTTATCACGGACATCATAACCACAGCGCGCACAATGAAGAAGGTCAGTAAAGGGCAACTATTGCGCTTGTGATTATGTACATGAAAACACAAATGCGTGTTTTCAACAGAAGATGACGTCCTGGATAACAACAAAGTGACCTGTGACCTTTCGGGAGGAATGGGTATCGGACCGATTTCAGTGGGCCTGAACACCCTTTGCGCTCTGCACTGTGGTCAAGTGAAGTGCAAGAGCGGCGGCTCCTGCAAGGACGGCGTGTGTGTGTGTCGCAAAAGCCCGGCTAGCTGCTGGATCTATCTTTGCAAAGGATGCAAATGGTAACCTTGCCCATCAGCAGCACCGCTAACCCAGCGCCCACGTAAATAGTTTACCGAATCGTATTGTACAGAGTACATAAATTGCTTGTTGACATGCCTGCCTACGCCGTGTATGTTAATCCCGTCCAGTAATCGATCGATTTTTTATCTGTGTACAGTATGCTATGCGTTTAGTATTAACTGCTCTTAGTCGCGAAATCAGTTTGGTCTAAATATTACATGCAACATATACCGCTTCCATGAAGCATTATTCTAATAACGTGTATATTCTGCATTAATGCAGGCTGCAGCTACTATCTATTTGTTTGTTGTCGTGGTTAACTCAAGCTATTATCGTCTTTTATTAGTTTTATTGCAAGTCTCCATTACCCTATTTGATTTGGTGTAATAATATTTCGTGCTTGGTTTGTACTCTTTTAATCCGCTTGGTTTGGCGGTTGAATACAGTGTGATCAATAAAGTAATATACAAGCTTTCCGGTTGTTGCAAAAAAACATTCTTTTTCTTTCGTTTCATACGCTTTTGAGGTGAACCACTTTATAATCCGTTTAAGTAAGCATTTTTTTATCATTTTATGCATTCACGAATAAAAAGCAAATTACGCTGTCATAACATTAAGCCAATTTTTGAAATGTCAACTCGGCATAAACGTTTTGGTATGCATAAACATTTTGTAATAAAGCGTTTTTTGGATGTTGTCCTTCACTTGCCACTTTCGTTTTCATGCTTAACAGAGAGCTAACAGGGTTCTTTTTGAAAGTTATATTCACATTCAACTGTCATTTTGTATAACAAGCTCCTCGCATTGAGTAGCTTAAAAAACTTTGGTGTAATTGTTTCAGTATAATGTCGTTCCCTCACTTGTATGCTACTGTGTTGTGTGCGAACAAGTAACCCAGACGGTGACCTTACAATCACGGCTGTATATTTAGCACTTCATAAAAAGTGGGAAAGAAGACCGTTAGAAAGCGTCACGGATAATTGTGGCAGTTGTTATTCTAATTTATAATTCTTTGACTTCATCTTTGAAGGACATATGTAACAATATGGATAGCTTTAACGGAATGCATTTAGAGCAGAAAATATAAAACAGGGAAACTTACTTTTAAAACGTCCTTTGTAGTTAGTGTGTAAACGAAGTAAATTGCAAAAGAGGGAGGATACACTAGAGGTACTGCACTGAGTGGAAGGTTGCGAATGGTTGTGAACGGAGTGGCCACCTAAAGTTAAGCCGGGTTTGCGTTTTTGTGAACGAACTTCCTGTTAAATGAGATGACACAGACTTGCCTTAGCCAGCGCTGTACGCAATATTCTTCTACTTTGCTCCTAAAATTGTAAATACCCTTATGGAAATTATGCTCACCTGTGTCGCTAACAAAATTCCGTCGTTTTAGCGGAAGCTTTTAATTACGGTTGATAGGAAGTTCCAATTATAGACTTGCGCAAATAATCCCGTAATTCTCGGTGATTCTCGATCTTGCACCAACGTAATTAAAACGATTACCGGAAATGCGCAGGCCTCTGTACGATCTAGAGATGAACAACTAGGTTGGAATCCAATTAGCTGTCCACGTGGTGCCTTTTTTCGAAGTTCATTTTGGAGACAAATTGCTTCCGCCTTCCGCTTTAGTGGACTGATAAACAGCCCAACCTCGCTTTCGCTCCAAATAATCGGATTACGGAACATTCAAGTGGCTTGGCACTGGACGTCATCCGAGTTTTTGCTTATTCAGGCGTGTTACGACGTGCAGCCGGCCTTTTATGTTATAGAAAAAATTCGGCTAACACTTGTCAACCCACTAAGAAGTCATGGAGAGGAACAATACCACCAATATGACCTTGTCGCTACTCTCAAAACACGCGGCCACATTTACGCCTTTTCTTACCATCCGCTTGATCATTGCTATCGCCTCCTTCATTCTCAACCTGGGCGTCCTAATTACGTTCGCCTTCAGACCGTTTTACATCAACCGCTTCACCGTCTATCTGCTGTTTCTTTACATCGCCAACACGGTCTACCTTGCTGGAGCGGCACCATTTATTTTCTACAGTGACGTCTACGATATTGAAATAGTGAGCTTGAGTGAATCATTATGCTTGTTCTTCAATTACTTCCACTGGATTATCAGCTTAATTCCCGTGTTTTGTCACATGTTGATTGCGCTGAATCGCCTCTGGGCATTCCAGTATCCGCACCACTATCGCGTCCACCACACCACAAAGATCGCTGTGTTGATTTGTTTGGTTCCGATTCTTTATGTGCACGTACTAAAAGTTCCGCTGTTACTGGTCTTTAAATTCATGGCGTATCAGTCAAAAAGAGACGGATCCATGTTCTGCGGCCAGCCGCTTCTTCCAGGGGTGTTCACATTTACTAAAGTGGACAGCTGTATCAATCGGTTCGCTCCTTTATTTTTTATTATTGGTGCCTACATTTACCTGATTGTTAGACGGTTTCAAAGGAAGAAAACCATCAACCATAGACAGTTCAGCAACTCGCTCCCAGCCAAGGATCAGCCCATTGATGGAAACGCTGTTTCTGCCGCACCAAACACCCAGTCGCCATCCTCTACCAATACGATTGTGCGGCCATTTTGGATTCTGACCTTGACCAC